TTTACACTTAACTGTTTATTATGTATTCTAGCTGATCTCCTAAGTGATGCCGTATTAGGATATGGCTGACATTTTGTTTTGCGTTTATTTCGAATTGGTCCAACTACATCCTGTGTTTCATTAACAAACAATCTCATCCTCAGACTCATCAAGGACAAAAAGGGAATTATCGGATATTTGCTGCATTTTTTCATTTAACATGTTACTCTGTAATACCTCCATTAATTATGGACTATCTATCCAGGACGTCCGACATTATTATACCATCGCTTACAGCTTTACAAATGACTTACACTGCGGAATCGAAATTAATTCGCTGATTTTAAAGATTATCAGGTTCAAATTAAATTAAAATTAGAAGGTGAAAGGTTATCGGGCGAAAAGGCAAAAGAAGCAAATGATACAATGTAAGTCAAGAGAGTTTATGTTGACGCCATGGTCAGTTTGTGGGTTTTGTTTGAGCGTCAAATTCTCAAAAAATTCGAATGAGGTCTCAGTTGTACGACACTGCCATTTTTAGTTTGAGCCAAATTATTGATTCGTCGTTCGACCTACGGAAAAGTCAACCAGTTACCCGCAGATCTGTATCCTCTACCCCTTTCTGGGATTTGATTACCTGTGCTAAGTTACCACACGTTAGTACTGCTAACGTCTCGTATGTTTGTCTCTTTAAGTCAAAAATGACTTATAAGAATTGAATTATCGAACTACAGCACACATAAACGATCAAATTATTTTAACAAAAATACGCCTTTCACTAAAATTGATTCTCCTATAGGTATGGGACGAATCGAGCACTCGAGGGGAGAAAATGTGAGCGCGCTCACCCTCGAGCGCATTTTATTCTATAGAGAAAAACTATAGAAAATTTATTTAAATTAGGAATGATATGCGAGCGCGATTCGTAAGTCAGTCGCTCGAGCAACAAGCGCGCTCGTACACCGAGTGCCCACTCAATTCGTCCAATACTTATTCTCCTATGCTTTTGTACCTGCAGAACCGTACAAGCAGCGTTCATCTTGTCGATTCACTTTAGCGAATCGAATTACTGCTATTTGCAATCAGTGCCTATGGCGTTAGTCACACGATATTTAGCTGAACAATAACATTTGCCAAAAAATTTCGATGATATTTCATACACACGTGCTCTTTCAGAACAGATCAAACTTATCTTCTCAAAGAAACCGTCCGTGACATTCGCGAACAACATTACCGTGAAGACTTGTTTATTGGAAAACAACAATAAATGAGCTTGGTTTTGTATATCATGTTTTCAAACTTGAGTGAAGTTACGTGGTTAATAGTCGTTATGTGATACAGTTACAGATATCCAGTTTCATTGCTTATCGTGTTTGACCGGTTTTCTGTTCGGCACACAATAAACTGAAGCTCACTGTTTATAAGCATTGGTTTGTATATAATCAGGATTTCTATAGCAGTGCAGAACCCATGACACGACATTTCCGTGAACGACATTATCGCGAACAGGATCCCAACTCTTCTACGAATTTTTCATAGGACACATTTAGCTATTTTTGGTAGTGTGTCGCGGGAGGTAGGGGTGTTGGTAGTATGAGAGGGAGTTGGAAAAGTAATTTCATACAAAACACATTTTCATCATGCGAAGTTTCATATCCGTAACTATCACATAATGACTATTAACCGCATAACTTCATTCAGGTTCCAAAACATAATATGTAAAATAGTAAACCAGGCTCGTTTATTCTTGTTTTCCAATAAACAAGTGTTTGCGATAATGTCGATGTATGAAACAGTCGACACATATAATCGGAAATGTCTTAAGTTGTCTTTATTCGTGTCGAGCGTTTTCAAGTTCAATTTATTTTGCTGTATACATGGCTCTAACAAAGGGAGAATCTCCATAAACTTCTGTGGACGCTACACCAGGAAAGAAAAAGGAATAAAGTAGTACTAGTTGTCTCTACCAGTATCAGCATATCCGAATGTTTCTTATCAACAGTCTGATACAAGAGTAAGAATATTGACTTTTTATCTGTTCTCCATATATAATACACAAACACTTTGTAAACGGCTTATCCCCCGAACTTTGCTACCGCAAGTGTGATTCTGCCGCGGTTTTTCACTAAACTAAATGGACATAACTTTTTAACGAAAAACAGAAGAGAGTCAAGCAATATATCGTTAGAAACGAAAGACGAACCTTTTTATAACTGGAGCTAACTTTTGAACAACCCACTTAGATCCAGTTATAAAGAGCTTCATCTTCTCTTTCCAATGAGACGTTGCTCAAGTCTCTGCCGTTTTTCGTTAAACAGTTATGCCCATTTTAGTTTAGTGAAAAACCTTGGCAGAATCACACTTGTGGTAACAAACCTCGGTGAACAGACTCGTAGAACTACTTTATGCGTAAGAGATTTCTGTCAACGACAGCGGACCTATAGCAGAGGTGCTTTTCCAAAGTAATCTTACCCATTTTCAATTCAACTTACACTCTCGCCTCTAGCTTGATTTAGTATTGAAAGAGTTTCAAAATCTGGTGTTTCGCCAAGAAAATATGCAAGCACAACTGGAATTATTTGACATATGCCCTCAGAACTCGGATGTCTCTCTTCAGATCGAATGTACTGGATGAATGGCTTCATATGTTCGTATTTGGTCTATTAGCACTGAATAATATTCAACAACATGGTAAATTAGTTGTACCTACAGCACAAAGAAGAGCCACCATAACACTTGTTAGTAAAGAAAAACGTAAAACAGATCGTCAGTTATTGATGATGTTAATTTTACAGGTGGTTTGTATATTTTTATCAACAACACCGTTATCCGCAGAACATTTATACAGCACATTTACAGCTAACTTTAAAAAGAATGCATTCAAAAGTGCAGAAGATAGTCTAATTTTGACGGTCGTTGGTAATATATCATTTGTTGCCCATTGTTCGTCATTTTATTTATTCACACTTGAGATGATAAAAAAAGGACGTACGAAAAGTGACTAGGAGAGATAGATCAAAGTCAAAACATCACACTTTTCGACTTAAGGGCGGATCCACACACACACCCGGTTTTAGGCAAAGGGGACTTCTACTATGGTCTTTTGAATAGAGTGGCCATGGATTTTTCTAATAACTCGAGAATGAAAGTTCGGGTTTTCAGTATTTTGTAGAGAAGACGTTACTCTATCTCACATATATTTTGTGCTCTCGATTTTTCAGGTGGTGTACCTTATGGATGAAAACGGATGAGATTAGCAGATTCTGAATATGAGATGGCTTTTTAGTTTTAACATGGTGAATAGGTAGCCCAATGTGTTCTCTACAGTTCTGCGCAAGACCGACCTCTCCGTCTGTTGTGGTTCTCGAATGGCAGGCATTTTCCTAAGTCATCCGAAATTCGTTACCATTTCGACTGCTAGATGCTTGCCGTTCGAGAACCACAATAGATGGAGAGGTCGGTCTTGCGCAGAATTCTAGAGAACACATTGGGCTAAATGGCCGTTATGTTACAATCCTTCCAATTTAAATTCTGAAAACTTTGAAAACCAGACCGAGTTATCCCCGCAGTCGGCCATTGTTCATTTTTTCCCAAACGATTTTTCCACCATGTACCCGTTTTTCAGCTTTTTTAGTAAGGTTTTATCAAAAATACTTTCTCATTTCCCAGCAAAATACATGGAAAAAAACTCAGCAACTCTTTAGAAAAAAATCGATTTTAAATATTGCATTGTCTAAACGACACTCAAGGTACTATAAAGTCAAAAAAGAGGTATATAAAGTAAGTAAAGTCCTGTTTGAATTATTAGTCAAAAATGTACACCGTGCATCGGAGGAATGTTTGAGGAGAAGGTAGCGAAATCATAGATGTCTATATAATTTGAGGAGGACAGAAATATTCTTCTTTTATGAACGATTACTTAGCTGGCACAATATTCCGAAAAGAGCTCCAAAAATTATTCTTTAAACTCGCACATTGTTGTTACAATATGAGACATCGCAACCATTGATCATCAGCGTTACAAACGTCAATAACAAGGACAACAAAATTTCGACTAACACCCTGACGTATATTTGGCTTGAAAAAGACTTGATAAAGAGCTAGCCGTGAAATGATGGTGAACCGAGTTAGTGTGTTCAATTGAATTTGTTGAGTAGAGCATGTCTGCTTCCGAGCAAGATTCTCGTATACGAAAGATAATAAAACTGTCCTAATGATTCATTTCCGAGATGAAAAATCTGTAGTTAACCCAAAATTTCGTGTAAAGCAGAATTCTAGGAGAAAGCGCAAGTTTTTCGATTAGGACAGATTCGATTGAACACACTAACGCGGTTCACCATCATTTCTCACCTAGCTCGTTGAGCAACAGTCTTCTGTAAAGAGAAACATTTTCTCAAAATTTTCAAAGGAAAACCAAGTTCGCATGGATATTCATTTAAACTATTTGAATCCGTAGATGAAAATCAAAGCGTTTTTATTCTACAACTTTCTCTTTACCAATAAAACTATTGAGTAACCAAAAACATGTGTTCTCACACACATTTCTCCATTCTTTTTGAACTATAGAAATCAGAAAACTGTGCTAATGCCTATTTTTCGACTGATGAATCGAACACTGCTGTTAGTCGTAGCCCTCGCATATATCACTCACGATACTTTTCTTGATGGATTTAAATAATGGTTTTGCGTTGGTTTATGACCGTTATTTCTTTCTGTGACAGTAGTAGGACTGCCTGTGCCTTGTCAACACTTGAGCACTGTTTATACGAGACTCTTAAGATGTTAATCTCTCGAGTAAATAACCTGCGGTGTAAAAGTAATTACCGACATCTCGAACCATAGTTCTCCACTCAGGAATATCGGAGAAAGTCAACTTTTTAAATTAAAAAGACCAATGTCTGCTGAACTACAAATTTGGTACCACCGTATTTTTCCCGCACGGATCTAAGAAGGAGGAAAAACAAAACACCTCTAAAAAAGTTCTTGCAGCAGTTTTACTTGAAAAGTGTGTGTTTCTGAATCATTTTGAGCTACATGGACCAAATTTTAACAGAAAATACACCAAAATGTAGTGCATCAAAAGCTCTGTCGATATCAGCTTTGTTAAAATCTTTTAGATCAATGTTATTTTTCAAAAAGATTTGAAAAATAACATTATTGTGAAAAAAGACTCTTTTTCGAGAACTATTAGTTTGAACGAATATCGGCCCCCATTCCAGGAATCATGCATGAACTTAATTCTTTTTGCGTTACCTGTTCAAAATGTGCCAGACCATAGAACTTAACAAAAAAAATAATTAAATAAATATTTTTACCGTTCCAAAACGGCCAGGTAAAAAGAACGACTAAATTTCAGTCCTTCTCAGAAAAAAGCAATATTTTAGTATTAAAACCAAGAGCAAATTTAACCTTCAATACACCATTGGAAAGAGCACTCTTTATGCTACTAAAATCATCATTAAAAGTGCTTCAAACTTTTAAGTGCTTCTTCGAAATGTTCTGCAAGTGTCACACCACTATTACTTTTAATTAATTTACAAGAATCATATTTCTTTTTGGAAAATAAATAAAATCACTGGTAAAACAAGTAGCGTTCATCATTCTGATTGACTTATCCCTTGAGTGGAAACGAATCGCCGATATCAAACTGTTTCTGTAGAATAAAATAATTATCTGTCTTGGTCACATTACTTTCTGAAGAACATTCTCAACAAGCAGCAGCAAGCTAGTACTACAACAGTTCTGACGATCATCGTCGTGCTTGCAAGGCAACAGATAAATGAGGTACATTCTCAATCCTTTAATTTTTATTTCTAATCACTCTCGTATTACGTCTTGATGTGTATGTTTGTCTGTCCGTTAATAACTTCCCTAACTGGCCGAATGTTCTTCTGACCGAAGCAATGTTCTCCAATAGTAGGTGTTTGGACAGCGAGACACACTGACCGGCATTTAACGATTGCAAGACTCTACCTTCGGTGGAGAGAATTTTCAAGCGATTAAGTAAAAATAAACTTTTCAACAAATATAATCGATCGTAGAAGTCGCTCATACTCATTTTCTGATTCGACTACCAACTCCATATCATTTTCATCCAATCAAGCGGAAATGATGTTCTCCAACAATGAGATGCACCGTAGAGGTCAGTCATAGTCATTTTCCGATTCCCATAGTCGACTACCCACTCCATATCATTTCCATCCAATCAAGAAATATCCGTGTCGGGAATCCCGATATTCCGGTTGATGGTAAAATTTCGTTCTTGAGTTTCAGTTCTGAAGGTGTTAAAAAACTATCAGGGGTAAAACCTATAAGTGATAATAACTTCGCCACTAACCGCAACTGAGTACGCTTCATAAAAAAAGTGGGTCTTTCTTTACGTTTTAAAGAAAAAGAAGTCAAGACAATACATTTTTTGAGGTTCGGCAAAACTCTGAAGAGTGACTGTAAAATCACTGCTTTTCTTTGTGTCCGACGAATGATTACTTTGTTCTTAACGCAATATTCATACGGCTTTTCTGTTAAAGAAGAAAATGCAAGAAAAGAACTTCTTCGCTTTCTGTTTGGACGAATGTAGTGAGATGCCACTGCCTTTATTTTCAAACTCTTTTGTAACCATAGATACAACGCGTGAAGATGTTTAATGTTGAAACACAAAGCGAGTAACAAGACATGACCAAAAAATTTTGCTATATATTTGCGAAGTGGTCGCGTATATTTTTCAAACTAGCTATGTATAGCAAGTTCTGAAAATTTTTGCCTGAACTCGATCGCCTTCAAACGTACACTAAAAAAAGTTGTGTTGCATTATGTGTGGAGTGTCGCAAACACAAATGTACACATTTTCCAGTTAGACTCTACGACACATTAATTTTTTTTGCGACATAGGGAGCTGTTTGCGACACATCAACACATAATGCAACACAACTTTTTTTAGAGTGTATACTCATCATTTGTTAGTGTACAGAAAATGATACGCTCTACCCAGATTTGAATATTTTACATTTTCAAAACACGGACTATTAGACACAGAAGTACACGTTCCTAGAAAATTAAGAGAAAAACTCTTTTCTTGCCTGAATTAATAAAATACTGAAGTCTAATATTTGTCTAAATAGATAAAGCATACAGAATTACAGATACAGAACTCTGTTTTGGCGTTTCGTCTAGTCCGTCTTGTTTTTCGTTTATGAACAGAGTTGAACGAAAACAGACTTAATTTAGATTGGCATTCTGAAAAGAAAAGCATTTAAGAGCCTTTGTTATAATGCAAGAAACGATCAAAATGCGCGTTCCTTGAATACTTCAAACACTAATAGAAAATACAAACTCAAGCTTTTATCTTAGAATAGTCTCTGAGAAAGCGTCTAGAATTTCCAAAGTCTCAGCCTGACTTTTAACTATCTTCATAATGGTACCCTTTATATTGCTTTTACGAAACCTTAAATGAGTTGTTTGTCTACTCAAATATTCTTTTCTCATATCAGTTCCCGTTTCTATCATGCAATTACGTGACTAACTCATATATCATCAATTATCTTATGCTACAGTTGAAGTGACATCAAGTAAGTGTGATGTTAACAAATTACTTGTTCATATTGACAGAAAAATCCACAATTGGCAATGGACAATAGAAATTGCATGAATGAATGCATTCATTTGCGATGGGACGAAATGAAAACAGTAAAAGTTTGCGGACATTTGACTCATTTCTATATAAAAACATGTCATGCATATTTTATCCATTGTCTATTGTACACCAATATTATTCTGTTGATTCAATACCAAAACAGAGAACTTGAGTTGACTAGTAGATCACAATCAATGGGTCATCAAATAATGGTCCAAATGGAAGGATTACGACCGTTCGGTTGGTTATGCACGTACGAGACGAGATTGCAACCTACCGATTCTATATGTTTGATCGAATCTGATGACATGAGAGCAAAGACACGAATAAAATTGAAAATATTCATTGTCAAGATCATTCGCTACTGGAATTGAG